TCCTCTTAACGTGTGTCACCCATGAATAAAAAACATGAAAAATCCATTCTTTCGGTCATGTACTTTGGCAAGAAGGGTTTTCTATCCCACACTTTCTTGTAATTTTTGACCAAATACATTGCATGAAACTTAATAATAAAACTATGTGTAACTCTTGATTTACATAGTAGCCTTATTTATACTCTTGAATTTCAACAATTTTATCAAAGTATATCCACAATTCCTAACACCTAACTTTACTAATAATTAACAAACCATTTAATAATTGATTTTTTTTTTTAATGAAAACAAAGATACTAGATAAAGGAAAAAATTAACAAAATAGTAATAAAATTTCTTAATTTCGATTTTTTTTCCTTCCTTGCACGTGAAGAAGGCAGATTCCACATATTTCTGCACTTTTCACGATTGAATCAATGCACGTGAAGAAGGCAGATTTCACCTTTCGGCACTTTTTACCGTTAGATCGACACACCTATTAATATACATTCATGCGTTGACTCAACGGTAAAACATTCAATAACTACACTACAGTCTACAGATACTAATAAGGTCGAATTTTTCCGTGGAGAAGACATCTTGTCTCATAGAGACATCTTTGCATTTGCTCTCAGTGTTGCTCTCTGTATCTTTCTTAGACATGAGAGAAATCTTGCTGACCTATACATCAGTACAATCCCAATTTTTATAATCTTTCTATATGAAAAGTCAGTCTCTCTTTTTCTCTTAATTAGTTTTCCCTGTTATATATTTAGAACAACGTTTGTGAAATAGAAAAAGGAAAATCTTTTATTTTTAAACATGAATGAACCGTGAATATGTACCCCTGCTCCAAATTAGTTTGTTTTGCACCATGGAACTATCAAACAAAAAATTAAAGAATTTAAAAAGAAACATGATAAATCTCAACATAAAATACATGAAATTTAATAAGTCGATCTTCTTCCTTTCCTTCCAAGTTATAAGAACAAGTTCATCAAACTATACCAATTAAATGTTCTAACATATTTTGCAGTTTTAATTATTACTATTGACATATTTTGCATTTATCAATTAAAATATTTATACTATGTAAGTAATATTTTAATGTTGAACAGTTGAAGAATCTTCTTGTCCGTTAGGTGATAGCCAAATTGTTATAAGAGTGGGGCTGCCACCTAGTGAAGCTCCACGTGCGCTCAGAGGACCCTTCACTTTCATGGTTGTTTATGTCAGTCGCGTGCGGTGCACGCCCCTTTCAACATCCTTATTTCTCTATGTACGTATAAACATATATACACATATAATAGTTAATACATGAATGAATGCTAGTTAGATACATTGTTCCAATCGGGCGGCGATTCTATTTATTGATGCTTTAAATTCAATTCTTGGGTTATAAATAACATATTTAAAATCCCGTTGGTCCTTATAAATTATTAGGGACAGTGCATCTGTGCATGCNGGAATTCACTAGGGGTGATTGGTGGACCAAAATTGATAAAAATAACAATCTAACATACTGAACTTGAAAAAATAAATAAAAAAAGAAAAGAAAAAAGTGAAGTTAGAGAATCAAAATTGAAGTAGCATCAGGTCACTCTTTATGTAACATGCCACGTGATGTCAAATTTTATCATGCCTCGTGAGTACCTAATTCTGACGAGCATGAATGTAAGTCAATCAATTTTTAAAAAGTGTTAAATATATCGGACTAATTTTGGAATTGTGACTGTATCAAGCTAATAAGGTCACTGGTCAACTGCGATTCTGCGAACAAATGGATCTGTTAATGCGGATCCTTTTTTCTTTGGAACTAAATGGATCTGGCTTGAGGCTTCAGCCCTCTAGAAAAACCCTCAATAGGCCAATCTAGAAATATTTGGGCTAGTTCCCTGGGCCGGCCCTTTAGTCCTTCTGTCCATTAACCAGAGCAAGTCCCATTTTATAATGTTCTTTT